TGGGACACCTACACTCGAATGTTTATAGCAGCACAGTTCACAACTGCAAAGTTGTGGAAACAACCCAGGTGCCCATGAATACATGAGTGGATTAATAAAATGTGGTATTTGTATATCATGGAGTACTATTCAGCTTTAAGAAACAATGGTGATATAGCACCTCGTGTATTTTCCTGGATAGAGCTGGAACCCATTCTACTAAGTGAAGTATCTCAAGAATGGAAAAACAAGCACCACATGTACTCATCAGCAAATTGGTATTAACGGATCAACACCTAAGTGGACACATAGGAATAACATTTATTGAGTGTCGGGCGGGTGGGAGCGGGGAGGAGGGGTTGGGTATATACAAACATAATGAGTTAGATGTGCAACGTTTGGGGGATGGTCACGCTCGAAGCTCTGACTCAAGGGGGGAGGGGAGGCATCAGCAATATATGTAACTGTAACATTTGTACCCCCATAATATGCTGAAATTTTTAAAAATGGGGAAAAAATAGAAAAGAAGGGAGAAAAGCATAAAAATACAAAGAGAGAGTACAAAGTAACTTGCCAGATACTAGTCCAACTATTATCTCTAATAACAATAATAAATAGGTAACACTTGCCATCTAAGATTGCCATAAGGTACTTTTTTTGTTGTTTTTTTGAGACAGAGTCTCACTCTGTTGCCTGAGCTAGCATGCCATGGCATCAGAGCTCAAACAATCCACCCGCCTCGACCTCCCAGAGTGCTAGGATTATAGGCGTGAGCCAGAATGGACTTTTTTTTTAGTTAGCTATATGCTCGTTATAAGAGAAACATTTAAAACATGAAAACATAGAATGATTGAAAGTAAGGAAATGAATATTTATACAAGGCAGATACTAACCAAAAGAAAACAGAGTCTTCTCTGTCTCTAAATGGGAGACCAGCTTCTTCGGTTTCTTATCTTACAGAGCTGTTGGATAGAACACAGACAGTGTATGTGAATGACCTTGAAAAAGATGTGGAAGTATGAGAGTGTGCTGCAAAATCAAATTGGAGTTGAATTGAGTAGAGTCATAGCAACCATGTGTTAATTGCTAGGAAGAATAGTTCCAATGCACGAATAAAACCTGGAGCTCATCCAATCAAATTCTCTCACTTTTTTGATGAGAAAGTATGACTTACCTAATGTCCTTTGAATGGTAAGGGGCAGGACCCTAGATATGAGGTATCATTATGCTTAGCACTTTTACCATGTACTACCTTCTACATGTTCGGATCTCCTATAATTTCAATCCAAACAACATGTCTCCTTGTGGTGCCAATAAAACTCAAAATATCAAACATTGAAAAATAAAATAGAGGCCAGGCACAGTGGCTCATGCCTGCAATCCTAGCACTTTGGGAGGCCGAGGCAAGAAGATTGCTTGAGCTCAGGAGTTCGAGACCAGCCTAAGCAAGAGTCAGACCCCGTTTCTACTAAAAATAGAAAAATTAGCCAAGCATGGTGGTGTGCACTTGTACTTCCAGCTACTCAGGAGGCTGAGGCAGGAGGATCACTTGAGCCCAGGAGTTTGAGGTTGCTGGGAGCTAGGCTGACGCCACTGCACAGCACTCTAGCCCAGGTGACAGAGTGAGACTCTGTCGAAAGAAAGAAAAGAAAAGGAAGAGAGAGGGAGAGAGGGAGGGAGGGAGAAAGGAAGGAAGAAAGAAAGAAAAGAAAGAAAGAAAGATAGATAGCTGAGGCACCAGAAAATGAGACTTTAATAAAAATGCATTATTAAAGTATAAGGGGTCATTATACAATAATCAAAGTTTATTTCTCCAGAAACATTTAACAATTGTATTGTTGTATGCACTTTATAAAAAAAGTCTCAAAATATATAAAGCAAGAATAAGTACAACCATTGAAGAAAATTTAAAAATCCGCCATCATTGTTGGAGATTTTAGACACAATTCTTCAATTATTGTTAGGGCAAACAGAAAAAAAATTAGTAAACACATAAATGTGAGCAATACAATTAACAAGCTTGATTTATGGCTATTTATATAAACTTGTACCCAACAATCAGAACATAAATTCTTCTCAAGCACTCATGCAAAAATGTACCAGTCTCAAAGATGTTCAAATACTTAGTTTCATGAAAACAGCACTCTTTAACCAAAATTAAATTAAATTGGAAGTCAATAGCAACAACAACAAAATGTATTCAGAAATTTGAAAACACTCTTCTAAATAAGTACTTATAAATGAATGATTAAAACTATTACATATGAAAACTTTTTGGATGCAGTGAAAGGGAACCTTAGAGGGAATTATATAGCCTTAAGTATTTATGTTAGAAAAGAAAAAAAAAGTTGAAAATTGAGTTGTGTCCAACAGAAGAAACTGAAAGAAGAACAGTAGAATAAACCCAAAGAACGTAGAAAGAAGGAGCTAGTAAAGATAAAGCACAAATTCAATTAATGAAAAAGAAACTGCAATAGAGAAAATTAACAAAACCAAAAGTTGGTCCTTTCAAAACACTAACACCCTAGACAAACCTTTAGAAAGGATGGAGAGAAAGGCAACCCACAACAAAGTGACTATAATCAACAATAAATCAGGGTATACTTTAAAATAACTAAAAGAGTGGAATTGGAAGATTTCTAACACAAAGAAATGATAAATGCCTGAGGTGATGGATACCCCAATTACCCAGGTTTGATTAATTCACATTGTATGCTTATAATAAAATATCACATGTACCCTATAAATATATACAACCATAATAAAATTTTTAAAAAATTTAAAAAGAAAAAAAAAGGAAAAGGTAATCCACAAATAAATAACATTAGGAACGAAAAAGTGTACATAATTATGGATCCAGCAAAGATTTTAAAAAGGCAAGTAAACTGCAATTAAAAAGTATATATTAAATTTGAAAACTTAGATGAAATAGACAAATTCACATAAAAATAGAACTGCATATCTGGGGGAAATGATAATCTTTTTACTAAGTCCACTAAATAACCACAGGGAAAAATGAACCTTGATCTTTACCTCATTCCATACACCAAAATTTATTTTGGTCAGAAATCTAGAAGATCTCTTTATATGTAGTATTTTAAAAAAGAAAAAGAAATCTAGAAGAACACCTTGGACATCATCTTCATGACTTTGGGGTTGGCAAAGTTTTTAAATAGAGTACAAAAGAAAGATTAGTTGGAATTAATTAAATTAAGAACTTCTGCTCATCAACAGATACTAATAAGAGAGTGACATAGGAAACCAGAGACTCATAGAAGACATTCATCATATATACATCTAACAAAGGAGTTGAATTCAGAACTCCCACAAATTGTTGAGGAAAAGACAACCTAATAAAATATGGGCAAAAGGGCCTGAAAAGGTACTTCATGAGGACATATACAAATAGCTACTAAGCATATAAATATATGCTTCTACTCATTAATCAACAGAGAAATGCAAATTAAAGCCATAATGAGATACCGCTCACCACCCACCACAATAGCTAAAATTAAAGACAGAACTTACAGACCTTATATGTGTTTAAGAGGATATGGTATGACCACAACTCCTCTGGTTGCTGAAACCAGATTGATACACTTGGCTCCCCAGCACTTTAGTTGACACTTCATCATAATCATCCACTGTGACAGCTTGACAAACTATGATGTCCATGCATGGCAAGGCTTACCTTCATATCATTTCCCATTGGCAAGAAGCAGGGGCACTATGCTCAAGCCCAAAGGTACAACCAAAAAAATCCCCAAATGTCATATTAAAGGTCTACCTCAGGGACCATCCACAATACCAATTCTGTTTCAGACTTCATTAAATCAGGAGAAACCACATAGTAATTCGAACAGTGAAAGTTTAATATGAAGGATTATTAACTATAACGGGGTAATAGAGTAATAAGAGATTGGCTAGTAAGAAATAAAGAGACCTCTGAATATAGAAGGAGTAGATATAACGAGGGGTCAGTATCCCCAAAAGTGAAATAGTGTACCCAAAGAAGTCCACCTCCCCTCTCTGCCCCCCTCCATCTCCCAGCCATTGCTAACTTTGAATATTTAAGGAAAAGCCACCCTACCTCCCTGGCTGAGTTAAAGCAACCAAGGGAGAATCCTCCAAGCATTGAGTTAGATCCCACAAGAAAGAATTTCCTGCTCACAAGGGAGAAGGAGTGCCCAAGGAAGAATCCTACCTAGGCTGAGATGAAGCATCCAAGAAAAAGTTCCTCCCCCGTCTCCTGCTCCTGCACCTTGGCAGAGCTGAGATAGATCTCTTAGGAATAGTCTTCCCCACAGGGCTAAGATAGAGACCCACAGGACAGACCTCTCCATAAATGAGGTAGAGCATCTTAAAAACACCTCAACCCCCTCATGGGAGCAATAGAGCACCCAAAATACAAGCTCCCCACCCAGAGTTGAAACAGAGCACACAAGTAAAAATCCCTGGGGACAGAGTTAGAGGTCACAAAGAATAATTCCCCCCTAGGGGATAAAGCACTCAAGGAAAAGTCCTACTACCCAAAGTTAAGAAATATCCTAGCAATGCTGAGATAGAGCACCAAGGATGAGCCACCCTAGGTTTGAGATAGAGTCTCCAAGGAAAAACTTCAACCCCAGAGCTGACATATAGCACCCAAGAAAAAGATAAAGCATCCAAGGAAAGCAACCACACACACAACTGTGAAGAGTACCCAAAGAAGAGTCCCCACAGGGCTAAGACACAGCATCCAAGAAATAGTTGTCCCAGGCCGGGCGCAGTGGCTCATGCCTGTAATCCTAGCTCTCTGGGAGGCCGAGGCGTGTGGATTGCTCGAGGTCAGGAGTTCAAAACCAGCCTGAGCAAGAGCGAGACCCCATCTGTACTATAAATAAAAAGAAATTAATTGGCCAACTAATATATACAGAAAAAAGAAAAAATTAGCCGGGTATGGTGGCGCATGCCTGTAGTCACAGCTACTTGGGAGGCTGAGGCAGGAGGATCACTTGAGCCCAGGAGTTTGAGGTTTCTGTGAGCTAGGCTGACGCCATGGCACTTGTCCAGGCAACAGAGAGACTCTGTCTCAAATAAATAAATAAATAAATAAATAAATAAATAAATAAATAAATAAAATAGTAATCCCTGTGGACTGAAATAGATCACTATGTAAAATCCTTTCTAGGGCTAAGATAGAGTACCTCAGAAATAGCCCCACCCAAGAGGGATGAGACAGAGCTCACAAGGAAGCATCGCCCAGGCTTGAGATAGAGCACCCAGGTAAGAGCCCTCTCCCAGGATTAAGTTAAAGCCCACAGGAAGAGTCATCACCCCAAGGCTGAAATAACGAAACCAATGAAAATCCTCTGAAGGGCTTGCAGAGAGCATATGAGGAGAAATTCCTGCCACCACCAACGGTTGAAGTCCAAATCTTGCTGGAGAGGTCCAGCTGCGATTCAGTGTATGGCCGAGAAGTTATTGCGGTGTCACACCAGTAGAACTCACTGGAAAGCCGCCCTCCGGAATTTAAGATGTGGCTCTGAACAAAGAAGCCCTTTACGAAGGGCTGAGATAGACTGCCCCTAAAATGTTTCTCCTGAAACGTTGCTGAGATAGAGTGCACAGAGCTCCCCACTACAGAGGGTAAATATTATAGAATACTCAAATAACCACCGCCGCACACACGCAGACACACGCGAGACAGAGCACTCAACGGAAAGCATTCCCATAACCATTGCTAAAATCCCTACCTTGTTGAGGGAACCTTGAAGCACCTCGCAAAATGGCAACAAAGTTGCTGTGGTGCACCAGCACTGGTGGAACTTTCTAGAAACCTTCCCTTTGGCAGTTGGTGGAAATGCCCTCCCTGGTTGGTGTCTGGGAATATTGCGATGGAGAGGGGGCGGCGGAGGGGGTGCGGGGGGGCCGGGGATCTGTCACCAAAGGCTCTGAGTATGTCGTGCCCAACGGGATGCAAGGAAGCTGTCAGTTCAGAGTGACTTCGCGCCGCGCTGCCCTGCCCCCGACTGGCACGTGGGGGAAAGTGCGTGCGGTCCAGAGCCCTGGCGGACAAGCCTCGGCCCAGCAGCGCCTGCTCGCGGTGCCAGCCCGCCCACAAAGCGCAGGAAGCGGTTTTTCCCCCGTTAGACGGTGTCTCTGGGCGGCCTGCTGCAGACAAGTTTCGGGGACGGCTGCCACCGCAAGAAGAATAACGACAACAACTCGCAGGAGACCTCTCCAGCAGAGCAGGCCAAAAGGGCGAGATTTGGGGCGGGCGCTGTTCGCCGGCGGAGTATTAACCAGCACGGCCGTAGTTAGCAGTTAAAGCGCAGGAAAGTCAGTCGCCGATCGTTCCCGAATGGGCTGCCGGAGAAACAGCACGCGCTCCGCGTAGAACGCAGACCTGCTCGGCGGGCGCGGGCGCGGTGGGCGGCGCGCGGTCCGGCGAGACGAACATGATGACAGGCGTTTAAGAAAGGGCTTCTATGGGCATTGGCGACATCGTTGTATTGTGTGTCCGCAGAGGGTGCCGGCCGTGAGGGAACACTTGAGCGCATTCTCCTGTCGAAAAGTAGGACACGGGGCGGTGGTGCGTGCGCTGGTCACACGAGCTGAAGCAGTTGCGCGAGCACTGCGCTGGCAGGACTGCTGGCTCGCACCGTGAAGAGGAGGAGGGGGAGGGGCTGTCCAGCACATGAGAGTGGCGCTCGCTAATTGAGGCACGGGCGCTGGGGGGGTGGCGCCTGGTTTCAGGGGAGTCGTGGACGAGTTGTTCAGAGGAGTGAGCCCAGCTGTCTGCGAGGCAGAGACGTGTAGGGAGCGTTCACAGTATGCCCCCCCCCTTCCATGGTGACAGGTGGCTGGCGCTCAGAGCCACCGAACTGTTGTGAGGGGTTTGCTTCAGAAGGCCCCACAGGAGCTGAGGGAAGACGGCAAGTGAGCAAAAAAAAAAAATGTTGAAACGCCACAAGAGGCTAGCTGTCTTACTGTGCTATAGCGCGTTTCATTGAAGTAAACGCAACGTTCTTCAGGAATGCTGCAAGCCTTTGTCATTTCCAGAGTCGCTGAAAATGCCTTGATATACATATATTTGCCATGTGTTGTACAGTAGGAGGTGATTGTCAGAGGGTTCCTCACCGATTCCAGAGGCTGTCTCTTGCCGATATGTTACAGTTTTAAACTAAGTGTAAATCCAAGCAAATGAGACTGTAAGAGAATTGGTATGAATTTCTTCTCTCTCTCTCTCCTCTCTGCTTTCGTTTTTTTTTGTTTGTGTTGAAAGCTAAGTGGTAGGCTGGGGCGCGGGTGGCGTCGACGCGGAGAGTCCGTGAGCACGCAGGGGGAGCGCGGGGGTAGGCGGCGGAGGGTGCGAGGAGAGAAAGCTAAAGAGAGAGGCCAATTAAATTATTAGAGAGAAATAGAGGTGAGGCCTGGGGCATGTGGACATGCGGTGTAGTCGACAGGGACTTGGGAGCTGAGGCAGGCAGATTGCTTGAGCCCAGGAGTTGAGGGGTGTGGCTGGTGGATGTATGCTGATCACTCTACTCTAGCGCTGAGTAAATAGAGTGGAGG